GGGGTTTCACCATGTTGGCCAGGATGGTCTCGATCTCTTGACCTCGTGATCCACCCGCCTCGGCCTCCCAAAGTGCTGGGATTACAGGCTTGAGCCACCGCGCCTGGCCTAGTATCCCTATTATATAGGTACTATTGTTATTGGTACCCCCATTTGGCAGCTAGGGAAACTCAGAGAGAGAGGTTAAGTCATTGGCTGGCATAGAGATGGTGCTGGGAATCTACCCTAGGCAGGCTGGCTCCAGAATCTGTGCTCTTCACAGCTCAACAGGATTTTTTTGTTGTCATATGTAGTGTTTTTGAGGCTGCCCCTTTGAACATAGAAGTATATTTGTTTCAAAAAGAATGAGGATGGAAACAGGAGCAATATGGCAACATGAGGAAACCCCATCTCTACAAAAATACAAAAATTAGCTGGGCATAGTGATGCACGTCTATAGTCCCAGCTACTTGGGGGGCTGAGGCAGGAGGATCCCTTGAGTCCAGAAGGTTGAGGCTACTATGAATTATGATCATACCACCACACTCCAGCTTGAGCAACAAAGTGAGATCTTGTCTCAAAAAAAGAAAGAAAGAAATAGGAGTAGAAGTAGGTGAAGACAAGGAAAGGCAAAAGATGAAAGAAGAAAGAATTACAAAACCAGAGGCAAGAAAAAAAAAAGTTGCTGAATAGAATGCATAATATGATCCTCTTATTAAGAAATATAACACACACACACACACACAGACACTCACACTCCTGCACATACACACACACCTACACACACATTCTTTAGAGGGAAAAACTATTTGTTTTTTCAGACTCACTGGTTTCCTGAACTGTCTTATATTTGTCTGTTGTTACATCTATTTTTTGGAATAGTAAATATACTATTCCAAGGGTGGTGAGAAAGTTGTTCTTTGGGAAAGAAAAAAACGTTCTAAATTTCATAGTCAAAATCCAACAGATTTGGGGGATGTTGTGTCTAAAGCCAGTGGGGATGTCAGAGAGAGAGACCCTTTGGGGGGCACTCCCTCCTTCTGACTCTTCAGTGTGTGTGTAAGACTCAGCCCTTTACATATGCTTAAAAGAACAGGATATCCTGACTTAAATAATAGAGGCAGCACTGTGAGATATCCAGATGAGGGTCCCAGTTACTCTTCCTGTTACCCAAAATAACACCTTTGTTCTAAAACAAGATCCAGATTGGGATTCTCTGGTATCCTCAAAAGATAGATTCAAAAAAGCCAGTTTGATGGGTGGACAGTAGCCTGGTGCCAGCTTTGAGGCTGGAGCAGAGGGACTTGGTTTATCATCACGGTTCAGTGGCTCCATGGACAAGTGTATGATTTTGTTACATCCTATGGGGTGGCTTTGCCCAGTAGCCTCCAGGATCCAAGGTGGGAGCAGAGCTAGCTGTCTATGCTGAGCTTTCCTCCTTCATCCAAACTTCTCTGAGTTATGAGTTTGTGCTCCTTGGCTTTCTGGATGCCAGTCCCTACTCTCTGCAAACATGAGCCTGGCTCTGAGCTTGTGTTCATTGGCAGCTGAAGGACAGAGCATGAGCCTCTTCCCCTGATGGTGGCACTTAAATCTGTAGGGTTCCCGGGGCCCAATGAGCACACTTACATAATGCAAACAACTGTTATTGTACAAGCAACCAATGATGAAAACATAATTCTAGGACAGAAGAAATTGATGCCTTAGAAATGAGAAGATATATTTAAAAGGATTCAACAAAGTGGAAAAACTTCCCCAATGGTCTCCAATCCTTCTGATTCAGTCTCTTAGTGGTTAGCTACAAGCAAATGAGGTAATTAGACAATGCTAGAGTCACCTTGGGACCTAACTGCCCTCTTTCCTCTAAGAAACAAAGAGCCAGAAAGATCTTCTTACTTGATCACCCCATGACCTCAAAAACATCTAAACAAAATAGTAAGGTATTGGGTATATACATGGTGGTTTATATAGCACCACAGATACATTCTCATTTCCAGACGTCAGGATTATACTGATTTACTCAAATACAGAAGCTAGTAGAAGGGCTTAATGCACTAACGCTTCTTGTTGGCGGCTCAGTAGCCTAAAAGACTAATAGGGATTCAAAAGCTACCATCATAAAAGGCAGAGTTTTGTTTTTTGTTTTTGAGATGGAGTTTTGCTCTTGTTGCCTAGGCTAGAGTGCAATGGTGCCATCTCACTGCAACCTCCGCCTCCCAGGTACAAGCCATTCTCCTGTGTCAGAATATATGCCACCATGCCCAGCTAATTTTTTTGTGTATAGTAGAGATGGGGTTTCACCATGTTCGTCAGGTGGCAAACTCCTGACCTCAGGTGATATACCCGCCTCAGCCTCCCAAAGTACTGGGATTACAGGCATGCACCACCATGCCCAGATTCAGAGTTTTATTAAATACATCCAGCTCTGGGATTCTTGATGTTCAATATTAGGAAGCCTGATTATGTTACCAGACTGAACTGATGGATAATGTGGATTCTTTTTTTCATTATTATTATTTTTATTATTATTATTATTTTTTTTTTTTTTTGAGACGGAGTTTCGCTCGTTACCCAGGCTGGAGTGCAATGGCGCGATCTCGGCTCACCGCAACCTCCGCCTCCTGGGTTCAGGCAATTCTCCTGCCTCAGCCTCCTGAGTAGCTGGGATTACAGGCACGTGCCACCATGCCCAGCTGATTTTTTGTAGTTTTAGTAGAGACGGGGTTTCACCATGTTGACCAGGATGGTCTCGATCTCTTGACCTTGTGATCCACCCGCCTCGGCCTCCCAAAGTGCTGGGATTACAGGCGTGAGCCACCGCGCCCGGCCTATTTTTATTATTTTTTTAAAGATGGGGTTTCACCATGTTGGTCAGGCTGGCCTTGAACTCCTGACCTCAGGTGATCTGCCCGCCTTGGCCTCCAAAGTGCTTGGATTACAGGCGTGAGCCACCAGGCCCGGCCGGATAATGTAGATTCTTAAGTACATACAATGTTTTTTGTTAGTATTTTATTTTATTTTTCTGAGATAGGGTCTCACTCTATCACCCAAGCTGGAGTGCAGCGACATAATCACAACTCACTGCAGCCTTGACCTGTTGAGCTCAAGTGATCCTCCCTGCTCAGCCTCCCTAGTAGCTGGGACCACAGGCACATGTCACCACACCCAGCGAGTTGTTTTTATTTTTAGTAGAGACAAGGTCTTACTGTGTCACCCAGGATAGTCTCCAACTCCTGGGCTCAAGTGATCTGCCTGCCTTGGCTTCTCAAAGTGCCGGGATTACAGGCATGAGCCATCTTGCCTAGCCTAATTGGTATATTAAATGATGAAATTTCTGCTTATGTAAAGAAATTCAATAATAAGGTGATTTCTTTGTCCCAGTTATTAACCACCATTAATAATTTCTTATATATTCTTCTTGAAAATTCTTTTTTTTTGAGACAGAGTCTCACTCCGTCACCAGGCACCAGGCTGGAGTGCAGCGGCACAACCTCGGCTCACTGCAACCTCCGCCTCCTGAGTTCAAGCAATTCTCCTGCCTCAGCCTCCCAAGTAGCTGGGACTACAGGCATGCACCACCACGCCTGGCTAATTTTTGTATTTTTAGTAGAGACAGGGTTTCACCATGTTGGCCAGGATGGTCTCGATCTCTTGATCTCGTGATCCGCCCGCCTCAGCCTCCGAAAGTGCTGAAAATTCTTATGTTTATAAAAGGCATATGCTTCAACAAACGTACAAATAAATAGATTGGGCACAGTGGCTCATGCCTGTAATCCCAGCACTTTGGGAGGCCAAGGCGGGCAGATTACAAGGTCAGGAGTTGGAGACAAGCCTGGCCAACATGGGGAAACCCCGTCTCTACTAAAAATACAAAAATTAGCCAGGTGTGGTGCATGCCTATAGTCCCAGTTACTTGGAAGGCTGAAGCAAAAGAATCACTTGAACTTGGGAGGCGGAGGCTGCAGTGAGCCAAGATTGCGACACTGCACTGCAGCCTAGGTGACAGAGCAAGACTCGGTCTCAAAAAAAAAAAAAAAAACCCATATAAATAAATATATATGTATAATCGGATTTTAAAAAATCACAAATAGTATAATATCCATTCTATTCTGCAACTTTTAAAAATACAACTAAGGCCAAGCGTTGTGGCTCATGCCTGTAATCCTAGCACTTTGAGAGGGTGAGGTGGGTGGCTCACTTGACGTCAGGAGTTCGGACCAGCCTGGCCAACAGGGTGAAACCCTTGTCTCTACCTCAAATACAAAAAAATTAGCTAGGTGTGGTGGCAGACCTCTATAATCCCAGCTACTCGGGATGCTGAGGCAGGAGAATCACTTGAACCCAGGCTGCTCTCAAATTTGTGAGCTGAAGCAATCTGCCTGCCCCAGCTTCCCAAAATGCTGGGATTACAGGTATGAGCCACTGTGCTCCCCGCCCCCCCCCCGCCGTATTACTGATTTAACCAGAGCCATAACAATGTATATTTAGCTTGCTTTTGGGTTTTTTTTAAATTAGGTATTACTTACTTGGCTTCCAATATGTTGTAGCAGCTTACACTCTCACCAGTGGCATATGTGAGTGCCAGTTTCTGAACACCTCTACTGTCACTGAGGATTATCAAAACTTTTCTAAATAAATTTTGAAATTTATCTAAGTTAATCCTTTGAGGTAGAAATGTATATAAAGTGGACAGGGCATAAAGTGAGCACATTTACCTCAGCAAACAGACTATAGATTCCCAGGTCAGTCTAAGAGTAAAGGTAGGGGCCAGGTTAGGTGCAGTGCTTCACGTGTGTAATCACAGCACTTTGGGAGGCTGAGGCAGACGGATCATTTGAGGCCAGGAGTCCTAGAGCAGCCTGGGCAACATAGCAAGACCTGTCTCTACAAAAAAAAAAAAAATTTTTAAATTAGCTGGGCCTCGTGATGCATGCCTATAGTCCTAGCTACTTGGGAGGCTGAATCAGGAGGATCTCCTTGCAAGGCTGTAGTGAGCCATGATTGTGGCACTGTGCTCCAGCCTGGAGACAGAGTGAGACCCTGTTTCCAAAAAAGAAAAAAAGAGTAAAGATACTAGGGAGTCATTTATTTGTCATTCTCTGCTTTACTTTTCTAAGATTTAGGGCTTGGAAAGCATTTTCTTACACAATGTTGTAAGTGGCGATTGGGTTTTAAGTGGGTTCACAAGCTGGACTGTAGTGCTGCACTATAGACTGTGTTAGGCCTTCCAGTATATTAATACTTGTACTTAACATCCCCAAAATATAAGGCTGTACAGATAGTTTGAGACTAATCATTGTGTGTAAGTATATCTTCCGGGAAAAGACATTGACACATCCAACTTGGAAGGCCAGAAACATGTTTCCCTTCTACTGCAATGCAATGGGGTGCACCCACCATCTCTGCTCTCCAACCTTCCTCACGTTGGAGACCAGTCTTCTCTGGAGTCTTGGATCTTGGCAGGAGGTCACTCTACTTTATACATTCCCCTTGAATAAGAGACAAGCTGAGAAGCAGAGACTGCTCAATTGGAGAAGGGGAAAGAGCAGCAGGAGTGAGGGGTTAAAAATCCCCTTTGGCTGTGGAGGGAAGGCAGATATTAATTTGCACCCCCGAATTTGTTCCACTCTAAATCTAATGAAAATCTAAGGCACCATTTTGTAGAGAGAGAAAAACAAAATAGATTCAAGGCTATACCGACTAGGGACAAGGCAACCAGGATCTATCCAGGCTAGAAAATGACATTTGCACAGAGTGTATTGGACCCACACATTCTAGAACATGGCATGTGGAATTTCTGTTACCACCAAACACCTTAGAATGCCAGGCTTTGTTACCAAAGAAAATGGAAGGGATTGAGCTGCACTTGGCCTCTTAAATGGGAACACATTCTTCGGTGTGTTTACAAATTTTCAAGGGAAAATTAGGCATTTTGTGCTTTTTGTTTCAGTGATTTTGCTTATATGCTCTGAAAGTCTTGCTGTCAAATCCTGTTTTCTCTGGCTTGCTAAAAAAATCTCCAACTGCCTTTGGAAGTTGTAGCAATTGATCAATACAAAGGCGAGACTTAGCAGCTAACCAGAAATCACACACACACACAAAAAATGACAAAGGCCTCAGTAATTGTTTCCCTTTGTATGTTTTTCACCACTTTACCAGTCTTCAAAGACCTTTTTTTTTTTTGGTCACAAGGTGAGGAAACAGGATCCCACTTTCTTGCCCCCAGGCTGGAGTGCAGTGGTGCAATCTCAGCTCACTGCAGCTGCCACCTCGTGGGCTCAAATGATCCTCCACCTCATCCTCCTGAGTAGCTGGGACTACAGGCATATGCCACCATGATCAGCTAATGTTTTAATTTTTCATAGTGACAAGGTCTTACTCTATTGTCAAGGCTGGTCTTGACTTCCTGAGCTCAAGTGATCCTCCCGCCTTGGCCTCCCAAAGTGCTGGGATTGCAAATGTGAGTCACTATGCCCAGTTTCAAAGAATTTATGTCTTTTTTTTTTTTTAAAGATGTGGTTTCACCATATTGGTCAGGCTGGTCTTGAACTCCTGACCTCAGGTGATCTGCCCATCTCAGCCACCCAAAGTGCTGGGATTACAGGCGTGAGCCACCATGCCTGGCAGAATTCATGTCTTAATCTGTGTTGCCATAAAGGAATATCTGAGGATAGATGCTTTTTTTTTTTCTTAAATATCAGGATGAATGACTTAAGGAAACAAAAACTCTTGCTTGCAGAGAACTAGAAAACTAGAATGAGGTAACAAACAGAACCCCTGAGGACCAGGATCAAGTTTAATACACATAACTTTACCATTAAAGACACAACTGGAGACCAAGAGGTTGAGACCAACTGGAACAACATAGTGGGACCCTGTATCTACAAAAACACAAAAAATTAGCCAGGCATGGGGTCTTGTGCCTGTAGTACCAGCTACTCAGGAAGCTGAGGCAGGAAGATCACTTGAGCCCAGGAGCTCAAGCTGCAGTGAGCTATGATCATGCCACTGCACTCCTGCCTAGGCGACAGAGCAAGGCCCTGTGTCAAAAACAAAACAAAACAAAACTATTTAACAACAAAAGAAGGGAGTTTAGAGGGGAGATGAGGGGAAGAGCAAAATAAAACAAAAAACACAAAACACAAGACAGTCACTGACAAAAGCGAGCCTTTCTTATCAACACACCACATCTACAAAGTCTCCATCTCATCCTACAGGAAAAAAACAGTGGGAAGGGGTTTGTGTAGGGTCAGAGCTGACAGTCTTCAGCACACAGTGGGTGCCCAGCGGATGGCTCTTGAGTGGGCAGCACTGCTGTCTGGCTCGCAAAGGGCAAGCCCAACCAAGGGTTTGGTGATTCTGAATGACAGCTTTGATTGGACCTCTTTGGTGTCATCTGACCTTTTGTCAGAAACTGTCTCAGGTAGGAAGTGAAATCTCTCCCCACCTCTCCCCCCACCCCACAAATGAGAACTCAACAAAGGCCAGAGGACAGGGCAGGTGGCTCAGTCTTGCCCATTATGAGAATCTTAGCTGCCTCCCTGGGTCCACAAAGCAAGCAACACATATTTTAAAATTTCTTCATAGTCCATTAGGTAACATATAATACCCTTCAACTGAAAGAATTTCAAGTCACATTCCTAGAGCTTTCTTATTTAGGGTGTCTCTCCCATGGTGACCATGTATCACCAAAAATATCTTCTGTAGATATTCGTGTGACTAGATCTTGGTTACATGTAAACAGGAATTTTCATTTGAGTCATAGTCTCCATATAATTAACTTATGAGCTTTTGGCTGAGTTTCCTTTGTTAATATTCTCAGTTGTACTAAAGTTGAGCTCACAGAAAAAGGTTTCGAGTAAATTTAGTTGGAATTGTTAGTATTTGACACATTTTAAACCAGTTTTACATGATTTTTACTGTATTTTTGATTGGTCAGTGGTGGGGAAGAGCCCTTGAATAACTGCTGTCTTCTTAATTTGCTGAATTGGAGAAGTTCCTTGATTTGTTCCTTAGTTCCTTAAATAGCTTGTGTTCATCCAGCTCTTTTGACTCTCTCCGTGAATACTCTACCTCCTCTCAACAATGATCTGAGCTGTGT